GATGAGCTTGCGTAATGTTATTCATTTCTTTCTCCTCATTTCGCTTATGTGTCTGAAAAGGTTAGATGTTGGGGGGGGGGGGAGGGGGGGTGGGGAAGGCTTAATCATTGAACATAGACTTGTATGTTATGGTTACAAGTATTTAAATAAGATTGAATTTGTCATGCGATTGAAATTGTGATAATAGAATGTTTGTTCTTTAATATTCAATTGAGATAATTCGAATGAAAATTCATATCGGAACACTTCTAAACTTAAAATTTTACTCGGATAATATTCATTCTATCTGTTTTTTTCTATTTCTTACAGCAGAATAGTTCTTATTAATAAATTGCTTTTGTAAACAATCGTCATGGTGGAAGTGTAGCAGTGTCTATACTAATTAGAGAGCTTTGCGTCCTTCCACATCTGAACAGATTTGGATTCACAAAAATATGAACGTGCAGATATTTAATACAGACAACATCTGTATTAATCTACTATAAAAATAGTAGCCAAATGAATAACGATCGATTGAACAACCTTGATCGTATTTTACAGGCAATGCCTTCATTTCCGATACTCTTGTCTTTTAATTTACTCCCCTATCTTATCGCAAAAACATTTGATTTCCGGGAGAACATTCTCGATGTTCATGTAAACGTGTGTATAATTTATGAAGCAGCATAAACTATACGCAAAGTGGCAAATGAGCAAATATAAACATAACGATAAAAATAGAAAAACTGTATATATGCCAGAGAGAAAAATTCATAACAAAAGAGAATACTTATGTAGTAAGCAAGCGTGCAGAAGAAATTGAACGAGCATTGTGTTCTATTGAGTTCACTTGAAAGATATCTTAATAATAAAACATGTAATTGTTTGTTTTCATTTTAGACTTATTGTGCTGTATTCGCTTCCGGAGAATTACCATCGCCGAAAGCTATGCTTGAGGTATGTACAGATATTTTAATATATTATTTATCAAAGAAAAATATGCGCCATAATATTAAAATCGATATTCATGTTTTTTTTTGTCGTCTATTGTAATGAATTTTTATTTGCCGAGTAGTTATGCTGATATAATATCTTGTCAAAGAGAATCAACAATTAGTTTGAATGTTGTTTATAATCTTATACGAAGATTTATGACAAATAGAGAATTGAAATCATTCTTGTTATCAATTTGTCATAAAAATTGTATTATTGATAAGGTTGTTTGTTTGTTTTATTTTAATATTTAATTAATTATTGCAAAATTTACTGGAAAAATTGTGATTTAAAAAGAATATCGAAATTAATAAAATTGTTACGTAAACAGAATTATAGAAAAATCTTCGGTTGATTTTGATATTTGTACTTTTAAATCGAACTTAACTGAACTAGCAAGGAAAGTTTCCTAATTGATGAATTGGTTTTGAGTTCGAATCCTTAGTTTATTGCTCTCGTTCATTGTGAAAGTTTCCAATTTTGTCATCCTTCGTATCTCATATCCATCGGTGGCATTGATGCTCTTGTTTTAGAATAAGAGACAATCAAAAAGATCTAGAATTCTCACAACAAACTGTTCAATTTAAGGCCTATTCCTATGCAAAGAGTTTCATGTCGAAATTCGAAAACTAGTATCTTAGGTTTTCCTAAGATGGACTGCAGCTTTGATTGGAAAAAAAATGTAATATCTCAATATAAATAAACAAGTAGCATGAATTCTTTTCAAGATATTCATAATTCATTAGGATATAACATAGTTCTGATTACATATGCATGAGACCAACCTGGAACCATGAAGAAAAAGCAGTTGTCTAACCGTAACTTAATATTATAGTTAAATATTCCTAAGACTTAAGGACGAGTATCGAAAGATTTTTTAAAAAATGTGATACGAATAAATCGTTTTCTTTAGACTGGGATCAAAATAGCTTGGTCCCTCATATCTCTAATTCCAACTCCAAAACGATTAATCAGTTTCGGAACGTACTTCGAGATTTGTTATTCTTTTCTTTTTTTCTGAAAGAACAACTATCCTACTCTCATACTTGAAAAACTATTATAGAATGCAAATTATTTCTTTCCTGATATGTTTAGGCAACAGCTGAAGCTAATAATTTAGCTGCTAAATCAACATCAAAAGAATTTTATATTCGTGCAATGGAACAGGTAAAAAAATAAATTTTATTCAAAAAAATTATTCTATATATTTAATTAAAGCATTGCGGTGGTGATCGACCATATATTCATCCAAATCAATTAGATATTCTTCATCAAGAAGTTCGTCGACAAGCTATTGAAAAATTTCGTTGTGCACGTAAAATGGGTGGTGAAGAAATGTCATTAAGTTATCAACAAGATTTAGAAAATGAAATTCTCGAACTTTATAGTAAGAAAAAAAAAAACATTTTTTTAATAGAAAATATTCGAATAATATTTGTTTATCTTTTTCTTTTAAGCTAATTATAGGAAACATAATGATTCGAAAAATGTGTTTGCATTTAGTCGTACACCAACAACATTTATATCATCAATGGTTATATGTTATTTAGTAGCTGGTATACTTGATACATTTTGGCTTGGTGGAATTACTTTTATATTTATGTTTACATTTTGGGTTTGTTTTGTTTTATTATTTGTATGGTTATATACAAAATATTCAGGTGAATATACTGAAATTGGTGAATATATCGATTATTTTGCTGATGTTATTTGGAATAATGTAAGTTAAATAAAAAAAAGCATAAATTAAAGATTTTAAAATGATCAATATGTATTTGTTTTTCAAAAAGGCATTTCAACCAGCCTATTCAAAATGTTTACAATCTGCAATGCGTTCTGTACTTGGACATGCAAAAACTACTTAAATTCTGTTTACTTTTTTCGAATGTATTAAATAAATAAAACTTGTCATACTGTTTCCTCGATATTGACATTCATGGTTTACCTTTTCCTTTTTTTTTTTGTCTCTTTTATTTCTTCTTGCTCGAACTCTTATCTTTCTCTTAACATTAGTCGAAGATTTTTGTGTGTGTTAATGTGTTGAGAGAAATAAGAGCTGTTGTTTGTTGTTTCTTTTTTATTTATTCTAACTGAACAGTCTTGCACGACTCTTGTTTTCTTTTTCTTTTGCAGACAAGTGATTCATTCTTCAACTATTATCCATTTTTGAAAGTAAGTCGCTTGAGCAGAATTCTTATAACTTTTGAAAGGAAAGTCATAGAGAGCTGCGGTTTTCACCGTTGGATAGAGAACATCAGGGCATATAAGTCTATGTAAAAACCGATGGGTTAATCCATAAAAATACTCGTTATCTACGTCATCAAATTTGGATGAAAATTACATAAAATATGCCTATTTTTGAGATTTAACCTCAGTATACAACTGATTCACACATCAGATATACAGTAGACAGTGCCTCTGCATCATTTGAACTCAATAAGATAAAATGTTAAAGTTGTCCTTTTTGAAAGAGAAGGATTTCCTGTGATAAAAAGGAAATTTCAGATTTCTAAATTTGAAGTTTATTTTAGCGGTTTTCGACAAATTTATTAAAAAGTTATAAACACGTACCTTGTATAACAGATCTTTTTTTACATAACCTTACGTACCCTGATGTCCTCTATCCAACGGTGAAAATCCCAGGTCTCTATCATTTTCCTTTCAAAAGTTATAAGAATTCTGCCCAAGCGACTTATTTTCAGAAATGGATAATAAGCAGCGGAATTCTTCGGTTGAACTCAGTCTCACTATCAGAAACTCTAAGGCAAGTGCAAGCTTATGTTGACCAACAACACAAAAGGTGGTAATTCATTTTTTCGACTAGTATCTTATAAAATATTAGGAATTTTGACCATATAGTACTATTGAACTGCATCCTACTTGTTTCACAGCACATAAAAACTTTGTCGAACAGCTTTTAAGTCTTTTGGGCTTGAGATAATCGAAAATTTATCAAGGTTTGATAGACATTATATTTATTCTGTTCGACAGTCTAATGTAAAGGTTTTATCTTGGGATTAAACAAGTGTTGACAATACTTTTAAGTCAGTAGCGAATCCATAATGTTGGAAGGAAATAAAATGACTATAGATACAACACACTTGGACAAATCGAAACAAAATTTTGAAAGTGGAGACAACCCTTTCGCCTTCTCCCTCAGTATGTCATTGCTCAAAGTGGCTCATAGAAAAAAACTAAAGAATGATAAAAGTAAACCATTACTTTCTTTCGTTAACATTTGAAAATTTGTTTTGTCGAGCCTCTCTTCAATTTACTTTTCTATCTCATCTTATTTATATCTAATCAAACAATTTATTGAAGAATACCTGATGAATAGGAAAATGTGAAACATATTTTGTATGATCTGATGAACGTATTGCACGAGCTATTTCCATACAACAAGCAAGTGTTTGCCATGGTTCTTCAGATTTTGTCCACCATTGACGACCCTAATTTGTTTTTTTTAATTTAAAATAAAATAAATTTCATAATTAATAAAAACAAAAATGTTAACATACATTCAAAGGTCTATCAGCTGAATCAAGTATATCATCCATAATTTCATCAGCATATTTCGCTCGTTCATCAATAGATGCTTTTTTCTTTAAATCTGTTAGATTAACTAAATGAATTTTCAATTGTCGAAGACCATTAGGACCTAATGGTTTGCCTTCAGCAAATAGAATAATACTACGTGCAATATCACTGCCTAAATGATTGAAATGTGGAGGAATAGGATAAACACGACCACGAAAATCAAGATTATGTGGAAACCAAAATATTTCATTACGAAACTAAAAAAGAAATAAGAAAAATTATTTCTTTAAATCAATTAAATAACAAAAAAAGTTTTTTTTTTCTAATATACATGATTAGCAATTGATAAACGATAAAGTTCATAGCACCATAATGAAAAAATTTCAGCTTTCATTTTTTTTGTTTGAGCTAAAATAATTTCTCGTCGTTTTCGTTCATCTATTGATAAACCCTTTTATTTTAAAAATAAACAAAAAAAAAAATTATTTTAATTATTAAATTTTTTTTTTTTTTTATCGAATACATCTTCAATTGGAAGTATTTCAGGTAGTTTGGCATTTTCAACAGCAACAGGTACAGATAACTGACGATTTCCACCATGTTGAAAAATATCCATTAAAAGATCAAGTACATCACCATTGATTTTCCATGCACAACTATTTAAAACATTTATTGAATCAAGTAAACCACCGATTTTTTCAATAGGTGTAGATCGAATATGAGCATCTTGTTGTCCGGCTGCTGTTATAGGTGATCGAACAAAATCAGTTTGTGTTAATAAATAACCACCCATTGTTGATGATAACCATGGAAGTGGAGGAACAAGACATGGTAATTCAATACAACTAAAGTCAAGAACAGTTTCAGGAATATGTGAAAAGAAATGTAGAACAGTTGGATGAACCTATACAAATAATTATATGCGAAACAGGATTTATTTGATATGATAAACATACTTTGACTTGTTTTTCTGTAAATTTACCTTGACTTCGATAGACAATGTACAAAACAGAATTATTTCTAAATAGATAATCATTTTTGTTTTATTTGAAATTTTTCTGTAATAAAATGAATTGTTAAAATTTCTGGATCATAGACAAAAAGATTTTATAACGAAAAAAGCAAATAGATTTCCAATATTAGCATTTTTCTTTTTATTCAGATTAAGAATCAAGACTGGTATCCTGAGCGTAGAGAGAATCAGGAGACCTCCTTGTGTTTAGAATGAACATATAATTTGATAATGAAATGGGATCAATTGAAAACGTTTATTCGTTAGACTTATTTCTTAGTCTTTTTTTTTCTAACTTACGATGCTTTTATTGATGGATCTTTTTTAGTAAGTAATGGTACACGAATTTTCATATATTTCAACATAATATCATAGAGAAATTCTCCAATTTGTAAAACTTGTGTAAATGTCCATCGTCGATCACTACGATCCTAAAACAGAAATTCAAAATAAATTCTTTCAAGAATTTTCTTAACAAAAAAAAAAAAAAAAAAAACAATAACCATATAAGCAAATTTTTCTTTAGTTAATTCATTCCATTTTTGTCTTTCATTAATAGTAAATCGTTGATTTGTAATAATATGTTTTGTATAATCATCATATAAAAGACGTAATTTATCAATATATCCATATTTATGTCGAATATGACATAAATATTTTTGATATAAATGTCTACCAAGTGATACACATAGAGTTACAAAGGGTGATGAATGAAATTCTGATGCATAACAATGTCGCTGTACTTCCTAATAAGATATATGAGATAGTAAAAAAAAAACAAATAGAAATTTAAAAAAATTGGAATCTTACTTTTAACATTAAATTAACATATTCTTTAGCATCAAATATTTCAAGAAATGGAATTATATTTATTTCACGAATTCTCTTTTTTTTTCGTTTTAATATTTCCAATTCAGTTAAAAATCCTACTTCTAATTGTTGTTCAAGATTTGATATAAAACCTTGATATCTTGTTGACTATAACAACAAAAGAAAATTTTTCATTTGAAAACAAATATAAACAAACAAAAAAAAAACTAACCAATTTTTCATCAATTTTTTTCATTGTATTAATTGATTTTATTTTAACTGTATGATTTATCTCCATATTTATTTGTTCATTTAATTTCTTATTAAAATCAATATCTTTCCACCAGAGATCGGTTTGTAACGGTTGATCTTTGTTCAAAAAAAAAAAACAAACAAACGACAAGACACAAAAGAAAAACAGAAATAAATTTATCAACAAAACAAAACTTGACAGTAAAGATGATGATATCAATTTCAATACTATAATCTGAATAGCATTAAAAAGAAAACTGCTATGGGCAAAACAAATAGTTTCATAAGCAATAGTTGTTGTGCATTTCTTTTATGGCTAACAACGGAAGTCCCTCCAATTAGTTAATCATTTTTGAATTTCGACTTCGAAATTTTCTATAGAGACCCAGGCAGACAAACTTTTGAGAAAACGCGTTTAAACGCACAGAAATTGGCCTAAAATCAGCAAAAAGTAGACGTTTTCGGATCACACTTGAGGTTTCCGACTGTGAGCCAAAAACGCCCATTTTTCGCCCTTTTTGTGCGTTTAAACGCGTTTACACGCAGACAAAAAAGAGAAATAAATTGTTGTCTTTTTCCAGCTAAAAAAACGTGACTGGAATCATGATCGAGCATCCCAAGTCTGAAAAAACGACCAGCTTTTCTCCTTTTTGCATGCGTGTAAACGCGTTTTCTGAAAAGTTTGTCTGCTTGGGAAGTGGTCACATATGAAACCCCGACGATATGTACGAAGTTATGTTTTCTTCAATTATGAAAGACTGTTTTATAGTAAAAACGTTTCTGATTTTTTAGAAGAAATTCAAAGACGAAAAGATCTTTTAATTAATACACAACGACATTTTACCTAATCTGTTACTCTTGTACAAAAATCTCTTCATGTGAAATAGACACGAAAGTTGACTGCGTTTGTGAAACCCTATGACCATGGAAGCGTGTTCTTCATGTATAGAACCTGAAGAATGTTTTCAGAGTAAGCTGAAAATGAGTACTAAAATGGCCTCACGATATGTTTTTAACAAAGAAACGCAATCTTTAATAAGATAGTTGTTTTCTATTAACTGCTTTTCAAGATTTTACTCACTCAGATCGGAGAGTTCATTATGAGGATGAAAGCAAAATATTGTTCGTAATGAATTTAGATATTATTATGGAGTTAAATACTAAAAAAGTCAATAAACTTCAGAAACTATTTGAAAATATCGATTTTTTAGGAGGTCTTCTAATATAGGGGGACCTTTTAATGTGTTAAGGGTTTTATTATATTGTTTTTGTTTTTGTTTAAAAGTAATTATCGTTCTGTAAATATCTAAATAGTTAATCTTCATTTGCGAAGGATATTTTTGTTGAACATCTGAAAATTTATCAGTTAAGAGTGCTTTCCATGAGCATAGTTCAGTTGTCTATCAACATTCTAATGCGATTGATACAACATCAGGATAACTTGTGCTATTATCATCTACACTCCCATCGCTGCTGATTAATATACGATATTGTTGTGCACTTCGTTGATGAAGCTTATTTTTCAAAATAAAGTTTTGAATCTATGAATGCAACATATCGTCTAAGAAAATTCCGTTTAATTACAAAAAAAAATCAAAGAAAACTATAGTTAAGATAACTTCTCGACAGATGTTATTTATGTCAGAGGTTCATATAAAAGATG